CCTCACTCAAAAATCCACTGAAACCCTAGTCCATGCCTTTGTCAACTCTCAGCTGGACTATTCAAATACCCTCCTCGCTGGTCTCCCCTCCACTACCATTCATAAAATCCAGGTCATCCAAAACTCTGCCGCTCGCATTCTTACCCGCACCAAACTCCACTCCCCGATCACCCCAGTCCTTGTCAGACTGCACTGGCTGCCTGTCCCAGAGAAGATCGACTTCAAGATCCTCACCCTCATCTTCAAATCCCTCCACTCCTCTGCTCCCCCTACCTCTCTGACCTCCTCTCTCCTCAAAACAGTGCCCGTTGCCTTCATTCCACTGGGTCTGGCCTCCTCCTCATCCCCCAAGTCCTCCGCTTCACCCTCGGCGGCCGTGCCTTCAGCCACTATGCCCAGAGGCTCTGGACCTCCCTTCCTCACTCCCTTCGCCTCATCCCCTCTCTTCCTATTTTCAGGTCTCGGCTGAAGACCTTTCTTTTTGACCGCACCTTTGGTCACCTTCCTCCCCCTCCCCCTGGCTCGGCCCCGGGATCCGTTACTGTGAAGCGCTCTGAGACGCCGTACGGCGTGGAGGGCACTATATAAATCCAAGTTATTGTTGTTAACAAACTTATTATTTTTTTGAAGGAATTATTACCCCCGGAAAAGCGATCCACCAATCGATTCATTGACTGTATTCCTACTTACTGTTAGGTAAACAGTGTCGAGTAAGGAAACTTGACCAACGTTTTGCCCTGCCAGGAATCAAACCCAGGTCTCTCGCTTGTGAGGCGAGTGCTCTAACTACTCAGCTACCGGACTCCACATAGAATGATACTTGTTTTCCTTTGGATGAGATGTTAAATTGAGGTTCCCATCTACCTGTTCAGGTAATGTTAAAAATCCCATGACACTTCTTGAAAAGAGAAGGGAGTTTCTTCTGATGTCCTGGCCAATAATCTCCCAGAGAAAAAAATTGTTTGAGGGACATTACTGTGCATCAATTGGTTGCTGTGTTTGCCTCTAAACATACAGTTATTACACTTTTCAGAAAACTTAGCGCCTTGATACATTTTGACACGATAAGGGACTGTATCAAATGAAAAGAGTCAAGTATATATTCATACGTAGCTTGAACAAGCTTTCACTAGACTATCGCTTTGAATTCACTGAACTCCTATGATTCTAACCTTTCTTGTTCTGCCTGTTCATTCTTTAGACAAAGTTATTTACTAAATAGCTATTAGTAGCGTTTTTCACAGTCTGGAACACTCCATTTACATTTTTGCAGTTACATCTCATAGGTCATTCAGAGATTATTCAGACAGATACTTTGTGGGGTGGAATCCAAAAGTACCTGCAGTAATATCAAAATAATTAACTTGCATATAGGTGCAGTTATTGGCAGTCATGACTTTTCTCCTTGGCAGAACTTCTCTGATTTCTGAAGAAAGTACGTGCAGTGCAGCAATGCAAACAGTGTAAGTTTTTACACTTACACTTTTTGCATTGCTGTTTTGCTGCAACCCCGCCCCCACCCCCACCACTCCCTCAACCCCCCCCCTTTGTTTTGCATCATTAACACCTCTTTCACCCATCATCTCCTGTCCTCTTCCCCATTTTCTCCTTTGTCTTCTTTACTCTTCCTCCCCGCTTTCTGTTAGCATTTAAAAGCCCCTCATGCCCAACATGCCCCAATTCTGACGAAGGGTCGTGGACCCGAAACTTTGATTCACTTTCCTTTCTCCATAGATGCTGCCTGACCTGCTGAGTGTTCCCAGCGACTTCTGTTTTTAATGCAAAAAGTTTCTTGACTAAAATACATCCATCACCCAGAGACATAGGGGAGGAGGGTGACATTTATCTTACTGTACTATCTGCTACTATTTCTAAAGTGGGATTAAGACCAGGAACGCCTCTTCAATAAGGGAGGAGGCTAAAAAACAAAATCCTGTCTTTTGTCCCAACCCTTTTGAGATTACTGTGCAATAGCTAATAATAACAGAGCAGGGAGGCTTAGAGTCTTGAGTCTCTTTTGACACTAATGCAGCCAGCAGCTCGGGTGCAAATCGTTCATTGTCAAGCGCCTTGGGACGTCCTCCAGACATGTTGCAGTAACATGCCATTTTCAAATAACCTGTTACTTTGGAAAGATGGGAATGAATTGATTAATATACAGAATTTATTTCAAGGCTGTTGAGCAGATAATGTTTCACTTATGCTCGTGCAACATTTGACGGCTCCTAACTACAAATTCTTCAGGACTAGGGATTCTGGAAAAATCAACTTAGAAATTTTCTCTACTTGCATTAATTTTACTTAATCTTTTGTAATTTTAAGATGATGTCCCATTGCAAATTAACCATTCTTGAAAAGTATCTCAATTTACATATGAAACATGAGTAATAATAATAGAGCTTACACTTTTTACTTTGCCCATGAAATTCACATGTAAATTACTAATCCTTCCTCAATTCTTCCAAGTATCACAAAACAGTGCCTTTCTACTGTAAATGCTCTTTATCTGCTAACCCTTGCTTGTATTACATTTGGCCCTACAATGGGTAAATCAATCCATTTACCTAAAGAGATATTGTCAATCTCTGATATATATATTACCCTAACTATGTATAATAATAATAATAATAATAATAATCCTTGCATTTGATTTAGTGCTTTTCACATCTTCTAGATGTCTCAAAGTGCTTCACAGAATAGACTGTAGAGTGAATTAACTGTATATTTTTGGGCAAAATGCGGCAGCCAATTGCGCACAGCAGTGCCCCACAAACAGTCGTGGATTGAAGCGACCAATTTATTGTTTTTTTTCTTGAGGAATTATTATCAGGCGTGTGGAGTAAGGGAACTTGCCCAAGGTCTCACCTTGCTGGGAATTGAACCCAGGTTTCTCGCTTGCAAAGTGAGTGCTCTAACCACTGAGCTACAGGACTGCATGTATAGATGCTTCGTGCATTGTTGATGATCATTGTTCGTTAATCCCATTAATCTTGATCACTCAAGAGATAGCTAGAAGTCTGGTTACTTATAAATATAATAATCAGGTTACAAGCATAGAAGAGATTTGGCATCAGGCACCACCATTGTTAAGCGCTCTGGGATGCCCCCCGGCATTGAGGGCACTATAGAAATGCAAGCTGTTGTTGCTCTATCATCACTTAAACTATCGTATAAAATTTCTTAAAAATGTAATGCATTCAGCAATTAATTTATGTGACTATCTGAGACATTCCCCATTTCTGTTCAACGACACTCTTTGCTGGACATATGTTTTGCATAAAATATGCATTAAAATATTCTCATTCAGTTGGTAGATCTCTCAATTCTGAGTCAGAAGGTTGAAGGTTCAAGCCCCGCATCAGGACTTGGACCCCAAATAGTCTATGCTGATCCTCCAATACTAACATCCCACCTGCTACTTAGTCTGAGATTAGGTAATTGAGTACATACTGGGATTATAACCTGTGGTTTTCTGGTCTGGATGCTCAACCATTTTAGATGTTAACTGTCTTCCAGTTCTCAGATCATATTTTCATCCCCAAATATTGACACATTTGATAGGTCCAGCAGCATATATAGTGAGCCCAGCAAATATTCTGTAGGTTTAAAATCATTTCAAAGTGGTTGATCTACAAATACAGCAGTTGAAATAATATATTTTGTTAAAAGAGTGAAAATGCAATGTTACCAGTTGTAACTTTGTCGATCGGTTCTCATGAAAGCGCATTGGAGGGCATTCCGGTTTACTGGGCCAGTGTAATTCTTACCTTTGGATAAGAGGCCACTTGATACTAATCTTCCATATAGAACATCATGTTATATACTGCAGTTTGTGCCTAACTAATCTAAAAACAACTGGAAACAGAAGGTACACAGCAGGAACTGAGCTTTTGCAGGGTATGTCACTCTACGTAGCTGCAGCACAAAGAAAGCAAAGTAATTTTTGTATGAGGAGAACATAAGGCACTTGTTTCATATTGAGGTCTAAATTGTGAGAATTATAAAGGATTCAAGTAATAGGCTCTGCAAGTTTAACTATTCAAATCTGCAAAGCAGAAATAACAATGACCATAGAAACATAACTCTTCAAGATTCGCAATTCGTAGAGAATTCCTGGATGTGTTATGGCTGATTCTCTGGAACTGTGTTCAATACTTCCTTCATGGAAGTCGGAACTGAGATTGGTGACCAAGTGAAATTCCAGATGGTTGTCCGTGACATGTAGGATTCACTGTGTACTAATTCTTTTTGTGAATCCGACAATTTCATTTCCAATGTTATTTTTTCTCTGATTTTTGTTATTTCTATTTTGCAGGTTTGAATGAATATTCAAACTTGTATTGCATCCTGTACCCTGTATTGTTTATAGCATTATATAAACTATGGCTCTCACCAGTGCCTTCTTACCTCATGCTCTGACTCTGTCGATCTTCCTGGCTGCTTATTTTAGCTAATTTAGCAAGCATTCGCAAGTACCCTTAGCATTTTTAGTGACCTTCAGCTCTGCTTTAAATCTTACATCTGATCCACTGAGAAAACTACTTTCTCCCTTCTATGGAATATTGCACACCTTTGTCCCTTCTCAATTTTTTGACAGCTAAAACCCAGAATACAACAACAACAACAAGAAAATTACATTTGTATAGCAACTTTCACATCGGGAGGACGTCCCACGGCACTGGACAGTCAGTGTTTCTAGAATCCTAGAAACTTAGAATTACATAGACTATTACAGCACAGAAACAGGCCATTCAGCCCAACCATTCCTTATCTTACCCATGTGAGCCTTCACATCTTCCTAATCCCCTCTATTTCCTTTTCCCTCTTCACATTTTCTCTTAAATACATTGATGCTTGCTGATATAGTTACATCTGGCAAAACAATGTTTTCCAAATGTCACTTAATCTGGACAGGAAGATAATGCAGTACTTTGTGGAAGCTCAGTTAAACAGGGCAAAGATTTTGATTTTTAAAAAATAGATATTGAACTAGTTTTGCATTTCAATTATGTTTTATTTTTTGATTACATGTACCATTATATACAGAATTAACAACAACAAATACATTAATGAAATAGTACAATATCTTAATAAAAATATAGGGAGAATTATATACTTAATATACATAAAATAGTCAGCATATGTCTCATGGGTGCCAATTGTAAGCATCATGTTGTCATACATCAACAAATATGAAAAATAGTACAACAATTCCACAGGCAGTTTAATGTCAATTATTTACAATTTATTTATTCATTTAAACTTCAGCTATTACAAGTAATGCTGAAACACTGGCAGGTTGGAGGGGTTGGAATCTATTCATCAAGGGGGATTCTAACACAATTACTGTAAAATCTATTCTTGGTCACACTGAATTAAAAAGCACATTTGGAACTTTAGACTGGGTATCTGGCAAAATATGAATTATACTTGACACATCCCCAGGTTTGCAAACTTTATCTTGTGGCATAATATTATTAAATGTTTATATTTACTATAAATTGTCTAAGATGGTTAATAAGAAGTACAATTGTAGGCAGTTTGCTGGTGAACCTATTGATTAAATAGAGTCTAGTTAATCTGAATGAAAATGTACCGAAATATTAATATGTTTAGAATTTGGATTGAGCAATGGTCTCATTTCCATTTTCATGAATAGAATGGGACTCTAGATCCTCTGCTTTCTTCTTTGCTCTTTCCTTCTCCTCAAACTCAGCTTCCATTTCTGCTGGATCCACATAGACGTAGAAAGAGGCCATGATGCCAAATATTATGCTGACTGCTCCCAATAACGAAGCAAACAGAATGTATTCTGCCCACTGCGTGAGGAAGAAAACATGGCAGTCAGGATTGAAACAAGTCTCGTGTCTGTTCTATGTTATGTAGCTTTCAAACATTTATAAAACTAGTTATTGGAAGCATCTTGTATTACAGAAACCTTTGTAATTTAATGATGACATTTGATTCTTAAAAGCAATAACACTGTTGTGGATTTGCAAAGGAAGTCAGCAATGTAGTTAAAAATTGTAAAATTAGCTTGTATCATAAGGACAGCATGAGTGAAACTGTTGGGAGTAGCTGTTTGTGGGACACTGCTGTGCGCAATTGACTGCCTCGTTTTGCCCACAAAATACACCGTCAATCCACTTTACAATATATTCAATTACATGATAAGGCGCCATATCAAGTGCAAGGATTATTATGATTAGTTTTGTTACTATTATTGAGGATACTGCTAGAGTTTAACCAGTTAAAACCACATAGCTTGCAATACAGATAATCTAATTATCTAGGCTCAACTGTGTGTTGACTTTTTTGTCTTCCTGCTTCTCCAGCTAGGAACACCCTACCCAACAAGGCTTTGATTTGCAGGGTTAACAGGAAATGACTGGGAAGAATCCCTGCCCCCATTGACTGGTCTGACCTTCCAAGTCCTGCCAACGAGCCAAACTGACTAATCTGACAGCATCAGTACCTTATAATACTTTGGACACATCTAGCTCAGGAACTGGATTACCAAGACTGCCACAGAGGGTCAACTTGGTTCTGACATTTCATTGCCAAGTACGTCACTTCAGAGCTAGGTTAGCCCCAAGGAGACCTTGTTTATCTCCCACAAGGATTTTATCCACAGTCCCTGCTAACAAGATTAAGACTGCCCAAACGCACTTAAAATCAAAGCTTTACAGTTAACAGAAAGAGATTTCATGGATTCAAATGCAAGTGAAGGCAAAATGTGCCAATTCACTGAACTACCCATTCTTCTCAGCCCACTTTTTGAAGAAAGAATGCATTTTGGATTGTGTACTTTAAAGCATTTATTCCAACAGTGACAGTTCAAGTCAGCTGCAAAACTTCCAGCTGAGACGGAGCATAAAATAGCTCAGATGGAATTCCATCTCCTTCCAGCCTCTCCTTTTTATAAAGTGACATTTGTATCCTGCATGCCTTGCCAGAGAGTTGTCTTATCCACTGTGGACCATGTTTGTTTTCATCACAGCAAAGTCAACACACAGTTGAGCCTAGATAAGCAGATTGCCTAACCAAAGTATAATTTCAATCCAACAACAGCATTAAAGCCCATCGTTCCCACTTACGGGCCACCTCATTCAGTCATAAAATTTTCTCAGAAAATTCTTCATGTCTCTATTAGGATTCAAGTGGATTAGCACAGAATTCCAAATCCCAGATTATTTCCTCCTCGATTTTATATAAACTATGTTTTTTGTAGTCTTGTTTATCATATTATTTCTAGATTAAACACTTTGATTGGCCACAGTCAAAACTGATTTTTATCAAATAAAACAGTAATAATCCTTACATTTGATATAGCGCTTTTCATGTCGAGAGGATGTCTCAAAGTGCTTTACAAGATATACTGTAAAATGCAGTGACTGTGTATTTTGTAGGCAAACATGGCAGCCAATTTGCACAGCGCATTATCCCACAAACATCCATCAAGTGAATGTCTCATTTTATTCAGAGTATTGTTGGTCCGAATACAGGAAGAAACTTCCTTCTTTTTCAAATAGCATCTTGGGATCTTTAAAATTGCTGACAGGACCTTAGTTTAAAATCTCATCTAAAGGACAGCACTTCCGACTAGGCAGTAACACCTCCATCAACTGTCCTGCAGTGTCAGTCTAGAATATATAACTTCAAAGTTCTGATGTGGACTTGGTCAGCCGATATTTTCTATTTCACTTGGAATCTTTACAGTTAACAGCTAAAGGGAACCTCCATCCTGGTCTGGATTTAAACTGATCCTAGGGCTGAAATGCAACCTACCAACCCTGTCTATACTAGTTTTGAAACAGCTTCTATTAAAGACATGAAAGTAGTTCTGTTTGGCTAACCCTTCAACCTGTCTTTTCTCCCTGAGGGAAGGTGTGTTAACTCCATCTTCCACCTCTCCATCAGTTTCAGTTGACATTGGGACACACTGTATGAAGACTTAAACACTTTTAATACAGCAATATTAAAGTACTTAAAGTACATCTGTGCTGCTTGTATTTCTACAGTTTTCATTTCTGTAGATGTACTTATCTCACATTATCCACATACCTGTTCCTCAATGCTCGAAACTTCTGCCACTATAAGTACAATAATGTTTCCAAATGCAGTGGTCAACAGCCAGCCTGCCTGAAGTACAGCCTTCATGTTGGAAGGAGCCTGAAAAGAAAGAACAGTTGTAAGAAGTCAATATAAATATTGTCTACAATCAATCAATAAATAATAGTAGAAGCAAAAGAATCTTGATCTTTACAATGCTAAAAGGCAAGGATACTTTAGACACAAGTAGGTTACTTCACCTAAACTGTGATCTCAAAACTAGAGAACTTGAGCCAAAATTAAAACGGTTGAAGACATTGTTTTACTCCATAGACTCTAGAGTAATAGATATGCAGAATTGATTCGTTTCAGGAGCAATTAATGTAGGTTAATTAGTTCCTTTCAAAAAGAACTGTCTGAACACAGTATTTTGTTGATGATACGATTGAAGATGACAGCATAGATTATTAAATATTGCGTGGTATAATATATGGGGCTTGCATTTGGAATCATGAAACTACAATTTCTGTAATTAACTGATCAGGGTTTAAAAACCTAGAGGGTGTGATGATGCAAGTTGTGTGAACCTGGTATAAACACATGAGTATTGTGCACCTTGTTCAAACACATGTACAAACATGTGTAAAGAGGGAATAACACAGGATGAACAACCAGTTAAAAAGAGTTATTTATGTAATTAATAACCAATCCTTTTAATTGGTTATTTATTAAATAATTAAGGATAATTGTATACCTTATGTACATATGGTTTACACGTGGCATTTAATACACATGTTCACACAACCTACATGTTAGACTCCAAGTATAACAGTAGATTGGTATCTTGGACATTTCCTTAAATTTGGGTAAAACTTTATCCTGTAGCAATTATATCCATTAGTAGGCTTTCTCATTCTGGCCTTTTCATATTCTGCAGTAGAAAAATACAGCAATAAGCCACTGTTGGCAATATCTATATAGTATATGATTTCCTTTGATTCCATTATCAGTGGTCCTCTCTTGAAAGGGCAGGTCCTGTGGGAGGATGAGTAATCTACTAGGATCATTATGTTAACTGTAGTGCAGTACATTCAGCAGATATTCACCTCTGTAATATTATTCAGCTGACTTTAAAGGTCATCAGATTCAACTGCAGTGTGCAGCCAACTGTAATGGATTGTTGCTGCATGCAGTGGTGCAGGCCATTGATCACTGGGAGTGTGATCAAGATTAAACAGATGTTTAAGAGGTTAAGTTTAGAGAGGCAATAAATCAACAACAGGAAGTGTGGATACAGATTATCATTCACAGATTATAGGTGATGGTTTGGACGCAGCTTGTTTAGAAACGTGCTGGTGAACCAAGTGTCTGTATACAGTATTACAATCAGACCCCATTATAGCAAGTTGCTTTGGGTCCATAAAATCAACGGGACATGCTTTTATACATATTGTCACGATTACCCTATTCTTGCAGTATTTTGTCATGTTTAATAATATGTATATATAACTATACAATATTATTTAAGAAAAATGGCGAGGCCTGCCCTTAAAATGGGTTGTGTAAGATTCCAAGTTGCAGAAGCTGCTTGCAGCACAGAGTTATTAGCAAGCAGCCTGCAGGAGTTGCAACAAAGTAATAGATCCAAAAGATGCTTGATGGACAGCTGACAAGCAGCCTGCAGAATCCCATGCACTAACGCAGGAAAAAACCCTCGCATCTAAATCATATGGTGGGTGGAGCCATACACCTTTATAAAGCAATGCTCGGTGCTCCTTGTGGCTGCTAACTAACGGTCGTCATCCGGTACGTACTGACGTGCACAGGACTACTGTACAGTCAAGGTTGGTTTAATATTTCTTTACTAATGTAGTATTGTGCTGCCAGTTATTATAGTTATGTGTGACTGTTATGTTTGCTCCCATTGTTGAGTTCCTTGTATGTAAGGTAGCCTAGGGTTGCTAGGTTTTAATAAAAAGATGTTGTTTCTCCCGAATGTATCTTCGAGTTTCTGTAATATTCTAGACAAGAAAAGGAGTAAGCACTTCGGAGGATAGTTGTCAACATCGGAGGTCTACTAGTGCGAGCAGACTCCGATTAGACATTTCAGTTACCCCATTGGGGTAAGCTGGGAATACCTGTCTGTGAGTGAATCTGACTTGGTTGAGTCACCTTTGAAATAGGGATTCATACTGACAGGGTAAGGAGAGAAGCAGAAGACACTTAGTATGAAAGCATTAATAAAAGCGTTAATAAAACGTACATCAAGGAGTGAGAATTGTTGCAATAAGGTCAGCACTTCTGGGTCATCAGGTTGTTGCTGATGTGGACAAAAGAGTTGCTATAATGACAATGAGCTTACTATTGTTTTTTGTGGGATCTGCATGCTGTGCATTCATGAAAGAAGCTGGCAAATGCTCTTACAAGCATTTCCAACAGTTACAGAAAACCCATTATCCGCACAAAGCCAGCTAGTCAGCATAAGAAAGTGTATTGTACTCCTGGTATACCATGTGTCCATTTAGACAACCACATTATAAATGGCCTTGTGCTACACCTGTGCACCTGTTATAACAGACTATATCTCATCACAAGCTTTGGTGACGGACAATGAAAGGTATAGATGAATGGATGTTCACGGCACACCATGTTTTTACTATTAAAGGATTGCCACTTACCTGTGAGTAGGAAAACTCCAAGCCTGTGACGGAGAAAATGACCTCACCACATGTCATAAGGAAGTACTGGGGGATTTGCCAGGCCATATGGATCGTGTTTGCCTTGATATCCTCAATGTAAATTAATCCATCATCATCAGATGTACACTGCGGAATATATCACATTATCTATTGTTAAACCTGAAAATAAAGCAATGTAATTCTGCTAAATACTACCTCTGTTTGTGAGATCTTGCTGGTGCCTCATTATGATACAAAAATAGTTCCAAAACTTGGCAGTAAATACCTGTAAGGTACTTTGAGATATTTCGACTTGACAAGGCATTATTAATTGTGAGTTCTTTCTATCTTTATTGCTAATTGTTTATGCCATAAGCTATTCATCATTCAAGAATTTCAAAGTTCTATGTCAATATTATCCTGTATCCATCCAACATTAGATGTGTATAAGCTACTAAAACTCACTTCTGATTCAGTGGGGAAGCATTATGGCTCTACTGAGTCTTCACTGGCATCCTGGCTGGTATTGGGACTTTGATATTTGCTTATTGTGTGCTACATTGTATTTGTACTCTAACTTTCTATCCACATTTTTGCAGCATGTAATGTACTTGTAATGAATTGTGTCAATTTGGTTCTCAAAAAAATAATCTTTACATTTGATACAACGCCTTATCAAGAGGTTTCAAAATACTTCACAGGATTTACTCTTCACAGTGACCGTATATTTTATACGCAAACACAGCAGACAATTTGCACATAGCAACGTCCAACAAACAGGCATGAGATGAATAATCAATTTTAATCTGGGGAGTTGTTGGCCAGGACACCAGGAGAAACTGCCATCTCTTTTCAAGTCGTGCCATGGGACTTTTAATGTCTACTTGAACAGGCAGATATGACCTTGGTTTAATGTCTCATCCAAAGAATGCACCTCCAAAAATGTAGTGCAGCCCCAGCATTGCTTTGGATTGGTCAGTCGAGAGTCTAGCCTATGTGAATTCAAAGTCTCAACATGGGGTCTCAACAAGGTCTCAACCTTCTGACTCAGAGGCAAGAGTGCCAGCAGCTGAGCCAGGCTGATACTTAGTTCCAACATCTTAGCTGCTAACAGTGTACAATTTCACCCATTAAAGTAAAAGGATGCAAAGGAACTGTCCAGTACAAACCATACTGTTCAGCAGTATTGTAAAAGAACTTCCATATCCAAATGCGATGGATGGTATCTTGCATTCAGTTCCATTTACAGTATAGATGATAGTTTTTCTGAAGACAAAAATAAAAAACATGAGAAACACAACCCTGTGCAGAAAATATCAAAATCAACATCATTTAAATACACACCCATTTCTAGAAATATTTAACTGCAAAATTAACTCAGGCACCAAGACAAAACTGAGGAAGTACAGTTGTGGCATTTCATAAAGGATTCAATGTTGTCATTATGATATTTTATCACATTCAATCTACAACAACAACTTGTATTTATACAGCGCCCCTCACGCATAGTAGCGTCCCAGAGCACTTGACAATGGCGGGGCACAATGCAGAGCTGGGGGGAGGTGACCGTAGGCACAGTCGAAGAGGAAGGTCTTCAGGCACGACCTGCAACTGGGGAAGGAAGGGGCAAGGTGGAGGGATAGAGGAAGAGTGTTGGGGTGTAGTGTCTGAATGTGCGGCCGCCGATGGTGAAACGGAGGGCACAAAGGACATACATGAAGGCCGGATCCAGTTGAGCAGAGGCAGCCGGTTATGGTTGGGGGGTAAGCAGGTCGGAGAGAAAGGGAGATGCTACGGCATGAAGGCATTTGAAAACGAGTGTGAGGATTTTGAAAGCAATCCTTTGGTGATAGGGAGTTAGTGGAGCCTGGCTAGAACTGGTGTGATGGGAGTTTAGTGCAGGTGAATGGAGTTTTATTTGGTATAGTGCCTTTTATGTCAGGAGGATATCTCAAAGCAACTTCATAGGATATATTGTAAAGCAAAGTGACTGTGTGTTGTGTGGGCGAGGGTTAACTACCTTCTGGGTTATGTCCTAAACTTGCCCTCACAATTCTGAACCTGGGCCCTCTTGTTCTGATGCCTTGGAATATCTGAAAGAATTTGTGGGAATAACATACTTTCCTTTGGTGAACAATGAATAGTTTGTGCCAGATAAGGTTTCCAGAGTTTCAAAATTAACATCGTTCATTGAGATGTTGACAGGTTTGTCAATCCATTCACAAATCTGGAAACAGAACAAATCTAATTATATTCAGAAATATGAGATATGCAGAAATTGAAGACAGCTATATTCAGGATAAATATGCATGGTAATTAGATACTTTGGTGGTAATGCACATTATTAGGTTGCATTCTAACAAATATCTGCAACCCAGTACTTAGTACTCGTATTTAGTTAAAAAACAAAATAAGCTTAAATACATAAAATGATATTTAAAAATCCTTTTTGAAGATCTTTTATAGAATAACAATTTCTTTTGAAAGAAAATCGGAGAAATCAAAAGCAAATATTTCCATTAGAAAACTACAGGGATAATATTCCATGTGGTGGTATTTAGCTTACTTTGACAATGTAAGCAAGGTATCCTAATTTTTCTACAATATCCATGATATAACCGCCAATAACAATAATCACCGGAGTGTCCCAGGAATGGAAAGAATAGGTGCCTGGTGATTAGGAAAAGTTAAGACTCCTCATTGCAAATAAACTGCACTTTTTTCCTTTTAAACAGAATGATATTAATAATCCTTGCATTTTCTATAGAGCCTTTCATGTCAGGGGGATGTCTTAAAGTGCTTCATAGGAATTACTGTAAAGTGTACTGACTATGTATTTTGGAGGCGAATGAGCAGCTAATCTGTGAACAGCAATGTTCCACAAACAGTCTTGAAATGAACGACCAACTTTATCTGTGGGATTGTTGTGCAATAAACTAGAATAAACTCCCTTCAATGTAGGGTAGTATGTGGAACATAAAGTGCTCCCTGCAGGAATAGCAACAACAACAACAACAACAACAACAAGATTCCATTTATAAAGCACCTTTCACGTCAGGAGGACGTCCCAAGGCGCTGCACAGTTGGGTCATGACCCGAGCAGGGGGGAAATGGTCAGGGTGAGGGAAGGGAGGGAGCGAGGAGGGGGGAAATGGTCAGGGTGAGGGGAAGGAAGGGAGGGAGCGAGGAGGGGGAAGAGAGTCGAGAGGGGAGCTGAAGGCACGGTCAAAGAGAAAGGTTTTGAGACCGGCCTTGAAGGAGGAAAAGGAGGAAGCAAGGCGAAGGCATTGGGGGATGGAGTTCCAGAGCCCCGGGGCTGAGAGGCTGAAGGCCCGACCACCGATGGTAGGGCGGTTGGGGCGGGGGACGTGGAGCAGACCGGAGCCAGAGGAACGGAGGGTACAATGTACAATGCAGAATGTACAAATATATTGATTTAAATATTCCATCACTGAGGTTTCAAAAAATAATAAATTATTTTGATTTTGACGGCTATTAATATTGTTAGAACAACAACTTACACTTATATAGCACCCTCCATGCAGGGTAGCGTCTCAGAGTGCTTAACAATGGCGGAGCCTGACTCCAAGCCGGTGGGAGGTGGCCGTAAGTACGGTTGATCAGGAAAATTTTCAGGCAAGTCTTGAAACAGGGGAGAGAGGGGGCAGGGCGGAGCATTGAGGGAGTGTTCCAGAGTTTTGGGACGTAGTGGCTGAAAGCACAACCTCCAAATGCGGGGCGGAGGGTGTGAGGGACGAGCAGGAGTTCCGGTGCCATTCGAGCAGAGGCAGTGGTGGATTGGGGAGTGAAGAGGTCGGAGAGGTAAGGAGCGAATGGATTTGAACACAAGAGTGAAGTTCTTGAAGTCAATCCCTTCAGTGATGGGGAGTCAGTGGAGCCTGGCCAGAACTGGTGAGATGTGAGTATGGCGTTTGGTCTGGGTCAGTATGTGGTCACCAGAGTTTTGAATGAGCTGGATCTTGTGAATAGTGGATCTCGGGAGACTGTGTTGGAGAAATCCAGGCAGGAGATGACAAACGCATGCACAAGGATTTCGGCAGCATTTGGGTAAAGGTACAGTCGGAGGCAGCAATGTGGTGGAGGTGGAAGAAAGCGATCCTGGTCAGGGGGAGGAAGGACAGTTGGGGGTCGAAGTGGATGCCTAGGTTGCGCACTAGTTCTGTGAGTCTGAGGGAGAGATCAGGGAGGTTGAGGAGCTTAGATCCACAGGAGTGAAGACATTGACTGGAGCCAAGGAGTATGGCTTCCGCCTTAGCCATATTCAGCTGCAGGAAGTTTATCTAGGCCTTGATGTCTGCCAGACAAGCTGATAGAACATCAGCGGACCTGGAGTTGGTACTGGAGGAGGCAAAGTAGATTTATGTGTTATCCGCATACATGTGGAAGTCTGCGGATGACATCGCCCAGAGGGCGCATATGAAATAAGGAAAAGAAGAGGGTCAAGGATGGAGCCCTGGGGTACCCCGCAGATGACCAGGCAGGGCAGGAAGAGAAACCATTTGCTGAGATGAAATGGAGGCAGCTGGTTAAGTAGGACTCAAACCATACGAGTGTGGTCCCACTAAGTTGAATGAAGGAGGAGAGCCAATGGAGATGCATAGCATGGACAACTGTCAAATGCAGCAGAGAAATCCAGGAGGATGAGGATGCAGATGGAGCCCTGGTCACAGATAGAGATGATGTCATTTGTGACTTTGACAAGGCTGTTTCTGTGCTGTGGGAAGGGTGAAAACCAGACTGCAGGGACTCGAGGAGGGAGTGGAAGGAGAGGTATGACAGAAGTTGACCTGCAACAATGCGTTCCAGGTCTTTGACAAAAAAGGGTAGGTTGGAGATGGGACGGTAGTGTGAGAGATTAGAGGGATCAAGGGTGGGTTTTTTGAGGAGTGTCATGACAGTGTTTTTTAGGGGTAGTGGAACAGAGCCTGAGGAAAGAGACTGGTTGGCTGTATCCGTCAGCAGTGGGGAGAGAAGGGGTAGTTGAGTGACCAATTGATCTATTAGAACAGATGTTATATAAAGACATGATCCCAGTATGTTTATAAAAAAGTGCAAAATAAATGCTATAGAATTTCAAAATGAAATGCTGCAAATTGTTTAAAAGTGCTGTTAAACTCAGTAAAGTTCAGAAGAAATGACAGTGGTAATTTACCTGACTGCATTTTTTCCTTGTTCTGGTTTCTCATTAAGGTCATCCAGCTGTCAACACAAGGACGTATGTTTTCACATTAGTTTCAGCACATGCCCCAATTACACATTGAATCTGATCTTTTAGTGACCTAATGATGCATTCTGGTGTTCACAAGATCACAGGATTGGTCTTGATGAAGAACGCCCACCCAATCTCATCCCTCTACAACACTCACCCTACTGCCTGTCCCCCACCTCACCCACCCGACCATCCCATCATTGTATCAAACTGCTTTTAAAATGAATCTAGTATACTGTCCTCTACTATCTTTCCTGACAACCTATTCCAGTCATGGATGCCCTCTGAATAAAGAAAATCTTCTTGGTATTTGTCCTAAAATTGCCGTTTACAACTCTAAACCTTTGTCCTCTTGTCCTTTGCCCTTCTCCTGTCATGATACATCTATAATAATATAATAATCCTTGCATTTGATATAGCGCTTTTCATGTCTTCTCGACATCCCAAAGCGCTTCACAGAATATGCTGTAAAGTGAATTGACCGTATATTTGTGGGCGAAACGCGGCAGCCAATTACGCATAGCAGTGTCCCCCAAACAGTCGTGGATTGAAAATGACCAATTTTTTATTTTTTATTTTGGAGGGATTATTATTAGGAGTGTGGAGTAAGGAAACTTATCCAAGGTTTCGCCCTGCCTGGAATTGAACCCAGGTGATCTAATTTCAATCTTATTTAAAATGTTATACACTTCTGTGAGGTCCCTCCTGAGTCATCTTCTCTCAAGGCTGAAGAGCCCAAGCTTGTTTAATTGTTGCACTATGCAACAGGGCATACTTGAGGTTCTCCTCCTGGTGAGCTTCTGATCTCAATTATAGAAACATTACAGCGAAGAAGAAAACTATTCAGTCCATTGTGCCTGTGTTGGTGCCATTCTGGGATTGATTAATCCTATTCTCTTGCTCTTTCACTGCACCATTCATTAATTTTCCTCAAGTATTTATCCAATGCTATTTAAAATGCTTCAACAATGGTTTGATTTAATCTTCCAGTAACCATTTGTGACAGACCCAACTGTTCAGGCAATAAACAGAGGTGAACTGAAGTCTGTATCATCCATACAGGCACTCTGAATGTTCAGCTCAGACCAGTATAAGGTCATCAAAGCATATCATCAGCCTGCACACTGGATTGAAGAGAGGACATTCAGCAAGGGGAAAAATACAGTAAATGGAAGAATTAATCGATTGGAGAAAACATGCTGGGCCATAAATTTACCCCTGTAATTTCCCCATAAAGGGATTTTACATTTTCTGCATGATGCTGTGGGGATGTGCAGAACACAGGCTGAGCACTTCTTCACAGAGATAGAGAGTCAGCCCAGGTAACTCCTGTGTACCATCAGTGATCAATTGCAAAGCAACACATTGATCCACTCTGACAGCCAAGGCCACTGTGTGGTAAGGATGCTGGCAGTTAAAATGCAAGTGACAACCCATTTAATAACTGGCACAATATCTTAGGATCATTGTTGTCTAATATGCGACAAATTCTATTGAGATTCCTTAATAAAGAATCCAAGTGGGATTTCTTCTGGTAGCATATCACACATGACACTAACACACAGAGACTCTGAAGCAGTTTCTATGGCTCAGCACAATGTAGTTCTGGTGTATTTAATTAAGAATTCTGTTATATGGCAAGAAAAATATGACCAGAGGAGTCATTTTCTGTTCAAATCTCATTTTCATTTTCCACAAAACCACAATAATATTTCCCACCCTTTCTGTTCAGATCAGTTTCAATTCCATAGTCTCTGTGTAGTTGCTTTTCTAAGAGTTTTAAATATTTGTGAATTTCTAGAAACAAAACCTGCACAATTTTGCCTTTTCATAATCTTTACTGATCTTCAGCATTTTTTTAATAGTTCTGCAGAGCATTTATGAGCATCATGGGGCTAGTGATTACTATTGATCACATCATGAAACTATAGAACATTAATTTTTTTCAGGAAAAAATAAAGTCAGGACAAACTCATTGCCGCAATCCACTAGTCATTTTACACAAGTCACCAAATATACTAACCCAAATCCCGAGCACCTTAGGCATGTTTGTTACTAGCAATGTTTGGCGAGAACCTCCTTTAGCATTGAAGGTGTAGTCGATTTTAGTGCTGTTGTAAATTACTCCGACTTTCTTTGCAGTACTGTCTACTTTCAAAGTTGTGTAATCATTTGCCTGGAAGAGAAAACAAGTACCTATCACAGTATAAAATGGGGAAAGAACAGGAAACTTAATATCAGGTTATTGAAGTTGAGTGTATCCCCTCTTCCTGAAGAGGTTGATTGATACTATGATAGATTGTAGAATGTTTATAGCACAGGAGGTAATTTGGCCCATCATGTCTTTGCTGATGTTAGCTTTCCTGTTGGGGCTATCTACTGTAATTCCACAGATTTTTTTATCCATCTGCTTCATTTTGTACCCAGGTTAAATTATATTAAGCAAAAAGTGCTCCAGCAGCAATGCTTTGGCTGAATAGATGGATTGTCGTTGGAACATCAAATTTTGTGTCTGTTTGTCGTAAATTTGCCCTGTGTTACGGTTCTAGGCCCAAAGAAGAGATAGTGTTACAAGCCAACTTGACATATTTCAGAATGATAAGTGGATATAACTGTATTCATGCCATGAAGCTTCAAAATGAAAACTGATCCTTCACTGCTGACTGGATCTGTATGGAAGTCTGGGTATTATCTCACACTTATATTCCAGGGTTCTGCAAAACCACTCAAACAATTGCTGCTTTTCAGGGCCCTTAGGCTATTGATGCTGTCCTGTTTACACCATGGGCCAGAATCCACAGTATCAACTGCAGTTGCCCTAACTCATGTCTCACAGTTTCGAAAGTGGCATAATGTAATCAGGAAGCGGTCCATGGAATATTCCCTGCTGAGTTGTATGAATGTACTGAGGTGTCACCAAAATAATGGTGGCCAGCACCACAGGAGGAAGTAAGAAGTCTTGTTTAAATTGCTCCTTAAGGTGGGTGAGAGGAAGGTCATACCAAGTGTCTCTGGAGGCAACACCAACCCCTCATGTGCACTCACTGCAGCACTGCTGTCTGTGGCAGCTCTGCAATATAAATGCTAAACTCCTACTGTGCTGCCTGTAATTTGGCGTCAGCTAACAACAACCCAGTTTTAATGTGGCATGAACCAGCTAAAAGCACATCGCTCAACACTGTGTTAAATATTATGCTACTGTTGCCATTTATAATGCAGGGTGGATTCTCCAGCAGTGGAGAACACTTGCACATGCACAACAGTTTGAAAAACAATGTAAGTGGTTTTATAGCTATCGTAAAGTCTTCAATAGCTGGGGAATCGCTGAGGACAAAACAACATTGCTGGGCTACACAGAAAAGAAACATCTTTCTCTGGTAGTAGCATGTACATTTTCTAGTGGGAGAGCTACCACCTACCATCAAAAAACATCAAACTTGAGGTGTTGTTGGTAGCAAGGTTTAAGGTAAATAAGTAATAAATAATAATAATAATCATTGAATTTGATACAGTGTATATATGGTGATGTTGTGACTTTATATTTGTATACATATTTTCAGATTAGAGTGATCTTTACAGCTTAGTTTATAGCTTACTTTGTAGCTCAACTTGAATGCTGCCACATACCTGTAACGGTTGTACTGTAAAAGAATTCTTAAGTCCACTTATTGTTACATTGACCACGGAGTCGCCTGAATTCAAGATTTTAATCTGGCTTTCCTTATGTCCCGGGAAATCAGGTAGAGTTTTCTGCAAAGTGAAGGGAACAGGATAATAAATAGGAACACAGTCAGCACCCAAAATGAGGTCTGAGGGGAACAGGGTCCAGGTCCCTAAAATGATGAGAGGTGCAAAACATGTAGATGTAAGCAATTTGATTTATAACTCGAGAGCAGACAGCATAAGTTTAAAAATCTCAAGCTGGACGAAAGATGAAAAATAATGGCTATGAAAAGAAGACTACACTGTATCAGAAATGGTCAATAAAATCTCTAACAACAGCACTACCTACAGGTCAGAGGTAAAACTGGATCATCATCTGAATTGTAAAATGTGGTGTTGGATTGGCATTCAGAACCTATTTTTTGCTGCAGAAGAAAATTATGTATTTAGTGTACTGAGAAAAAGAAAAGACCTTATGGATTGTAGTATCCTTCGCTGTTATGCTGGTGCTTTTGTTCGCATTGTGATTTAATATGTAAAAAAATTGCATACTTGGCCCTCCTGACTTTAAAAGAACAAATCTTTAATGCTACATCAACAATTATTACCACTGGGGAAAAATATATATATAGGATGACCAAAACGTCATCATATCATTACAATGTCTAATAAGTCTTAAAGAAATGATGATTTTTTTTAGATAAAAGGGAAGATATCATGACTTTTTGATCATCCTGTAAAAGCGACCAAACTGATGTTGTTCATTCACAGAGGCAGTATTTGAATCAGCTGTTACTTACATCTATTTGAATTTGCAACAAAGCGGCTACCACAAATGCTAACCCTGCAATCAACATTCCAACTGTAATTTTTCGCAGAGGACTGAAAAAAAGCACAAACAACAAGCTGGAATGAACATTTGGACTGAATTAATGCAGATTAAATTGATCATGGTCTGTTATTTTATGGTAAGATGGTATCTGATACATGCAGAAACACATCACCATGCTGAAGAGTTTCCAAACCAGACAAGGGTTCCATATATGTATGCCGTATATACACATGGAAAGTTCCCTATGTCTTCAGTGTTTTGTGGACTCGTTCCCTGGAGTGACATGTCCTGCATATCTTATTCCTGACAGTATTAGACATAGATTGGCAAAAATCTAGGCTTGGGGACACCAGAGTGTGCGTCAGGGCACTGCTGGAGTTTAACCAGCTAAAATTACATTGAAAGCAATGCTATCTGTACCCATAGTTTTCTTTGCATTTGTTCATTCTGTGCCGGACTTGTTGGTCTTGTCCATGCAAGAAGTCAACGATTCCAGCCAGAGCACACCTAGCCTATACAAATGCCCACCTGATTTTCCACTCAAATATTCCTGTATTTTACTGTGCAGCTAACATCCCTTCCTAAGCACCTATGGTCAAAATTCACTCCCCGCAAAAGATTAAAATCAACTCCTAAATCACTGTACTTTCAAACTTTTCTGAGCGATAATTGTTTTACTTACCTAAAGTTAATTTTGCATTTGTTGATCAAAGGATAAATTACAATGTCAAAGATTGGAACCATGATGAGAATCAGGATGGGGTTGACAGTCTGTGAGGAAATACAAAAGTGGAAGATAAATATCAATCAGAATAATTACCAGCAAACACACACAAAGCCTATTACATGGAACATTACAGCACAGAAACAGGCCAATTGGCCAACTAGTCCATGACAATGTTTGTGTTCCACATGACGCTCCATTCCATTTATATCCCTCTCCCATATCCTCTTTTCCATTCTCCCTCATGTGTATCAAGTTTCCTCAAAAATACACTGATTCTTTCTGCTTCAACCAGTTTCTAGCAGTGAGTTACACATTCTCACCACTCGCTGTGTAAAGAAGTTCCTCCTAAACTCCTTTTTAATTCTGCTACTAGCCATGTTATATTTAGGATCTTTTGTTTTGTAATATAAATAATAATCCTTGCATTTGATATTGCGCTTTATCACATCATTGAGAAGTCTCAAAGCACTTCCACAGAATATATTATAAAGTGGTTTGACTGTTTTGTCCTCACCAACAAGTATAAACAGGCTATTAATATCCATCTTATTGAATCCTTTCATAATCTTAAGCACCTCTATTATGAGAATTGGAAACATTCACAAACTGAATACTGTACCTGCATCTGATCAGGACGAATATCAATGCCTCCCTATAAAAAAGAACATATTAAATAATAAGTGCCAGGCTAAAAAACGAAGCATTAAAAACAAAATGCATAATATTTGAGTGATCAGCAATATTCTTACAAAATCTCCATCCATAACGGTGGCTTGAAAAGTCCATCTGGAGCCCTAGAAGAAGAAGCAAAAAAATCCGCAATCTTAAACCCAGCATTGCATGACTGGAAACAATCCTCTATATGGTACATGGGGAAGGGAACTGAGCATAAAGACACTAGTTTATTTACTAAAGCATCAATGCACCAGATTACATCCCAGAAAGTATCTTATTATCCATCACTGTACAATAAATTACAAAACAAAGAGCAAATATACCAACTTTGCTTCAGGTATCCTGAATGAATGTCTAAGATGGCTTTTTGGAATTAATTAATCTTTTGTAGATTCATAAACTTAACTATTTTTTCTATTGCCACCATTTTAAGTTCATCAACTCTAAATGTGAAAAGGATCCATTAGAGTACAAGCTGCTTTTAGATTACATTAGCCAGCAAAATAAATGTTTATTGATTGAATATTTCTTGATTATGGCATAAATCTATGCTATTTTGTTACTTCTATGATTATTTAAGAATTGCTTACCTGTTGGTCAAATAATGCCCAGAACATAGGGAGTGGGATGTACAGAAATAAAACTTTCAGCACCATCTTGATCTGGGCAATCAGATGTTCCTAAAATCAGGCAGAAAGAAACATAGACTGTGAGACTCAGAAGGAGGTTCCTGCATTTTTTTGCAGGTGTGTATAAAAACATCTGGTTATGGTTTAAAAGGAAAGAAATTATTTATCCTAATTTTAGTAGATTAATTACATTTTTCTAAAAAAATCTAAACAATTTGGAATGTTAATTTCACACAGAGATAATGATGTAATGTCCACTCTATGGGCAAATACTAAAAAATAACATGCACAAGTTATTTGGAGATGTACATTATTAATAGTGTGGGTTACACATGAAAATAATTTACTGTACCAAAGAAATTTATAACATAGAAGCAGGCTGTTTCATGATTTACTTGTGTATGCATGAACATTTATAATTCAAAGCATGTGCTTTTAGTTTTCCATGTGGAGTGCCTGAGTATTATGCTGCATGATACCAAATTTTAACATCAAAAATACTATTCCAATCAGAAGCTGGAGCTTTCTGACAAAACGTAACGTTGTGATCTTGTGAAAACTTTTGTTCCCCAGTTTGAAAATTCATGATCTAAAACTATGTTTTCTGAAAGACATAGTTTATTTTATGCTGCATTTTGTTACTGTACATTTCACAATGATTCGTCTTCAAACTTATAGGGTCTCAGACAACACAAACCGCAACCAGCTCATTCCCAGAAGGGTCTTTTAAAGCCAGGAACTTCAGATAGAGGATTTTTACCATATTAGATAATCAATTGTGGAGCACGCCATTGTACATAAGAAAAAACAAATGTTGGTGATCCATACATGTGCCATGTGGGAAGTGCAAAAGACTAAAATCTGATGTTTGTTTTTTTCATGCTATATTTAAAGCAATACCAAATAGACACTACAAAGCCACTACATAGACACTACACTGTAACTTCTGTTTGTAAACCCACCTTACTCCCATCAGTTTAATCATAGCATTCGATTCTAATGTTCAGAGTTCAAAATAAAGCAAAATGAATTCATACCTGACCTCAACTTAAGGTCAGATGCTGTGTTCAAAGCATTTGCTATTTACCCAAATGTTACATACCACTGTAAAGCACTGATCCAGGATCCAGTGCAGATACTTTACTAATAGCTAAATATGAATGTTTTACAAGTAAATATTACTTTGACTGTGAATTTCGCCCACAAATATACAGTCAATTCACTTTACGGTCTATTCTGTGAAGCGCTTTGAGGCGTCGAGAAGACTTGAAAAGCGCTATATCAAATGCAAGGCTTATTATTATATTATGATAAAGTCTAATTTATGTTACAGGACAAGAATATCAGAATAAACATTTTAAGCACAGAATTATTTCAAACCAATGCTTGATAACCTTGTTGTGGTAACTTACATCATATTTTTCTATTGCCCAGTCCAGAAAGTGTTCCCGCTTGGGATATTCTTTGCTACGGTGCACAAATCTGTTCTTTATCGCAAACTGTTTCGAAAAAAATGGTGAAATATTATTGCTAGTACACATACTTCATTTAATGGTCATAATAGTAGGAAGAAAATTGATGATGTGATAAGTCACATCATCAATTTTTAAAGTTGTGCCTGTATTCCCTGAACTCGCATTGAAATGCTGGGATCCATAGAGCAGCAGGTTCAAAGGCACTGCTGACTGGCTCATTGGTTTGTAGCTTTCCCTTCAGCTGTTATTGATGGGTACAACTCCAGGAGTGGAATGTCCCACAATGTGAAAATTGTTATATCACATACCTCATTTTTCACCCTCATGATTTCTTTTCGTTGCTAAGAATTCCTGACCGAGATGTATTAACATTTTTAGTACATTTACAGCTCACCAATGAGTAATCTGTGAGTGAAAGTCGTCACCTTGGTGCTGGTGTGTTGGTGCCATCATGGGATGCACAGAGCAGAGGCTGGACACTTCTGCACTGGAGATCTCACTAGCATTTGTCTTCAAGGTGATTGAAGAGTCATGGCTGTTGCATAACTCTGCTTTACTGACATGTTTGGAAATTTATTGCTAACATTTAGTCAGGGACTGGGTATTTCCATCTGCACTGAACAGAAATCTCATGACACATTACAATGCTGCTTCTGAGTGTTAGACGATCGGTAACATTCCAACAATTGGTAATTCAGCTCTTTATGCATGTATCTAGTATCTTTGATTATAGTTAGAGCCCTAACTTTAACAAAGAGAGAAAGGATTCCCCTCTTGTCATCTATTGTATTGTAGCTGCTTGGTTTTGCTCCCTTACCCCAACACACTTGGAAACTTTAACCACGATATTGCCTTGGGGAGATTCTCTCTTGTACAGGGGGCTTCCAAGAATGAAAACAACTAAAACACACAAAATATATGATTAATGGATTTATAAAATGCAGTTACCACTTTCATTTCAAAGCAGTAGAAATACTATTGATTCATTTAGCAATATATCAGAAAGATATGGTTCATAAAACTTACTCAAAGCAACCACCATCAGTGCTGCCGGCACTCCAAAGGCTAGAGGGTAGCACTCCTGCGGGATCTTACCACATTGCTGGGCTGCAACATACAAAGCACTGCTGAGCTAGAACTTCATGCACAAAACTACATTTAATTTACCTTACAGAACCCCCTTTATCAACATCAAAATGAATACAGTAGTTTGGCGTTGCTCCCAGGCCAGTTAATGTTTGACAGCCGATTATTATACAGAAAAAGTACATTACAAGCCATGTTAAATGGTGTAAATTATAAAGTAATCAATTATTCTACAATTGAATTGCTGAAATTATTTCACCAAATATTTTCATTAGCATTTATGGATGAAAGACATAGCCTGCTTAGTCTGCCATGTAACGCATGACCATTGCATTTTGATATAGGATTCTTATTAACAAGGTTTGGTGAAAGCAAACCAATAGTGAACTTACATCTCAGAACAGGAGTGATAATTGTGGAAATGAGACTTCCTGCATTGATTGACAGATAAAAAATAGAGAAGAACCGCTTTCTTTGATTTTCCTTCAGAGAAAGAAGAGAAAGATTGTATTAATACAAACTGAATACAATCGAGAAAGTTAGAGATAGATGAGAAATTTATCCAAAGGACAGGAAATAACGTGCATCAATGTTTCCTAAGCAACTGAAGACACCATTGCTCTGCAGCCTGAGGACATCACTTCCACGTATTGCGTCTAATTTCCAGTATTTCTTAATAATAAATTTGAGTCATGCTTTACCTGAAAGAACTCCACTCTCACCTGTCAGGAGCCGGAGTTCTTATTAGTCAACAGGATTTCTAATTCTGACTTTACAATTCAAAGCCAAAAGGACTGACGAAAAATAGCAATGCTTGTAAGGGGTCCACGGAGGAAGAATCAGCATGAACAAGTTGCTGTGTCCATGGCGCATTAAGGGTTAATTATCATACTACTACAACAGTAGCAGCAACGGAATTAAATTTGTAAAGCGCCTTTCATGTCGGGAGGACGTCCCAAGACGCTAGACAGACAGAGTTATAGATCCGAGCTTGTGGTCGGGGAGGGTGGAGAGCAGGTGGGGGAAGCAGGGAGATCGAAAGCACAGTCGAAGAGGAGGGTCTTGAGATGGGTCTTGAAGGATGTAAGGGAATGGGCAAGGCAGAGGTACTGCAGGATGGAAGTTTCAGAGGGTGGGGACAGAGTGGTAGAAGACACGCCTGCCAATAGTGGGGCGAGCGAGGCGGGGGACGTGAAGCAGGCCAGAGCCCGCTGAACAGAGGGAGTGAGCAGGATGGTAGGGGGTTAGGAGGCCACAGAGGTAGGGTGAGGAAGACTGTGGGGGCTTTGAAGGTGAGGATCAGCATCTTGAACTTTATCCTCTGTGTGATGGGAAGCCAGTGGAGTCAGGAGAGGATGGGGGTGATAAGGTCGCAGAGCCTAGTACGAGAGAGGACAGAGCTGCAGAGTTCTGAATGATCTGCAGCCTATGGAGGGAGGAGATTGGGAGGCCGACAAGCAATGAGTTTGTACAGTTGAGCCTCGATGTAATGAAAGCATTACGGCCCGTGATATGAGACAGTGGCTGAGCCAGTCAACGTTGTGGAGGTGGGGGAAGGCAGAGCGGGTCATGGCACAGATGTGGGGTAGAAAGGATAGTTGAAGGTCAAACAAGATCCGAAGGTTCCTGACTGGCTTAGTAAGGTGGAGTGTGCAACCACGGATGGTGATGCTGTCAGAGCCTGAGGTGAAGAGGCACTGACGGGAGCCAATCAGGAGAGCCTCGGTCTTGTTGACGTTCAACTGAAGAAAGTTAGCTCTGATCCAGGACTTGATGTCCGACAGACATTCAGTCAGGACAGCAGTGGTCCTGGAGTCAAGGGTGGAGGCAGAAAAGTAGAGTTGGGTGTCATCTGTATACATGTATATGTCGGCTATAGAATGATGCTTAAAGGTGTATTGAAATTCAAAGATAAGAACGATATGCTAACACTATAAAACAAAACAGAAGCTTGTAGGATTCTCCCTCAGACATTTACTGTACTGCTTGGTTCCACACCCAGAGAAGAATCTCTGTCTCCATGTGACTTATTCTGACATTCTTATTACACATCTTTGGAGAATTGTATTATTAATAAGAACATGTACTTGTACTGATTTATATATAATCGAAAATAAATTATGTAAAACCAGCACAGACCACATATAAAAAGTGCAGATCAATCTCTGGAAACAGGTAAGAAAAATTTAGTGGAGGAGTGCCCTCTAGTATTATCCACTAGGCTAATTGATTAAGCTCTCAAAACCCACAACACAACAAATCAATAAGTACGGAAGACTAATGATGACTTCATCAAGAACATAGGATAAATCTTTGTTGGAGGGGTGCCTGGAGGTGTAAGCTCCATTGAAGAAAGACATTGTACAAATATGATAAATCAATGAACAACAACAACAACATTAAGATTACATTTGTATACCGCCTTTCAGGTCGGGAGGACGTCCCAAGGTGCAGGACAGTGTACAGCATTTCAGACCCGAGCTGGGATCAGGGGGGAGAAGGGAGGGGAGGGGAAGGCCGATGGCATGGTCGAAGAGGAGGGACTTGAGGTGGGACTTGAAGGAGCCTAAGGAGGGGGCGAGGCGGAGTGATTGGGCGATGGAATTCCGGAGGTTGGGGGCAAAGTGGCTGAAGGTTCTCCCGCCATGGTGGGGTGAGTGGGTCGGGAGACATGGAGCAGGCCAGAGCCGGCTGAGCGGAGGGAGCGGGCGGGTTCGGAGGGGGTTAGGAGGTCGCAGAGGTCGGGTGAGGCGAGGCCACTGAGGGCTTTGTATGTGAGGACCAGGAACTTGAACTGGATCCTCTGAAGGATAGGGAGCCAATGGAATCGGACCAGAATGGGGGAGATGGGGTCATGGAGTTTGGTGCGGGAGAGGACACGGGCTGCAGAGTTCTGGATTATCTGCAGCCTGTGGAGGGAGGAGTTGGGAAGAACGACAATCAGGTCGTTTGCATAGTCGAGCCTGGAGGTGATGAAGGCATGAACAAGAGTTTCAGCGGCCTGAGGGGTGAGGCAGTGAAGTGGAGACGGTGAGAGAGATAGGAATAGAACCAGGCAAAGGCAGATCCGTGAAGATTGAGTAAAGCGGAGAGGCGGTGTATGAGGATGGAGTGGTCGACAGTGTCGAAGGCGCAGAGAAGTCAAGGAGGACAAGGAGGCAGAGGGAGCCCTGATCACAGGTGTTCAGAATGTCATTAGTGATTTTGACCGGGGCTGTTTCCGTGCTGTGGGCAGTGTGGAAGCCGGATTGGAGGGGTTCAAAGAAGGAATGGCGAGAAAGAAAGGAGCAGAGCTGGGACGCGACGACTTGTTCCAGGACCTTGGAAAGGAATGGGAGGTTAGAAATGGGGTGGTAGCTGGAGAGGACGGATGGATCCAGGGAAGGTTTTTTCAGGTTGGGGGTGATGACGGCTGTTTTTAGGGGGGTGGGAACTGAACTGGTGGACAGGGAGAGGTTGATGACATCAGACAGGAGGGGGGCCAGAAGGTGAAGCTGGAAGACGAGGAGAGAGGTGGCGATGGAATCGAGGGAGCAGGTGGTGGGTTTGAGTTTGCGTACATCATGGTGAGGGAGAAGGGAGAGATAGGGTCAAAGGAGGATAGGGGGTGATGGGTGGGGGATGGATCATGAGGGAGAGGTGATGTGGGGGTGGCTGTGGACAGGGCTGAGGTGGCTGAACATATTCCCTCGATTTTAGATTCGAGGAAGTCCAGCATCTCCTCACAGTTGGAGTTTGAGGAGAGGATGGGCGAGGTATGGGAAGGTGGACAGAGGAGATGGTTAGTGGTGGAAAAGAGAAGCCGGGGGTTGTCCTTTGCCTCCAAGATAACCCTGGAGTACAAGGAGGATTTGGCGGAGGCAAGTGCGCAGCGGTAGATCTTGGTGTGGTGAAGCCAAATCTGCCGATGGACCGTTAGTTTGGATTTGGTCCAGGCACATTCGGCAACTCTCACTTGTGCCTTGAGGGAACGGAGATGGCTGGTGTACCAGGGGGATTTATGGGAGTATGAGGCAGTTTGGGAGGTGAGGGGGGCAAGGGAGTCCAGAATGGAGGAAAGGGAGTTGTAGAGAAAGGAGAGTGAGGAGGGGAGATCGATCAGTGAGGGCCAGAGGTGTAGTTCAGATGACTCCAGGGCAGTGGAGAGGGAGGAAATTTTTTTCTATGGACGGTATGTAATGGTGGAGGGTTGGGAAGGGGGTGTTGAGGGAGATGAAGTGGTGGTCTGAGATGGCTTTATCGACAATGGTGATGTCCGAGATGACAAGTGATCACCAGATCAAGGGGGTGGCCACGGATGTGGGTGGGGGAGTGGATGAGGAGGGAGAGGTTGAGGGAAGAGAGGAGGGAGGAGAAGTCAGCAGAGGTAGAGCAGGAGGGGGTGAAGTGGAGGTTGAAGTCGCCTAAAATAAGGAGGCGTTCAGAGCAGAGGGAGAGGGAAGATAGGAGGGTGGAGATGTCCAAGAGGAAGGTGGGGGAAGGCTTGGGGGGAGGATTTTGAAGGAAAGCCTGGGGGGTTGGTAGAGGGTAAGGCGTTCAAAGGAGGGGAAGGTTCCGGAGGAGTAAGGGGAAAGGCCGAGGGGGGACCAGGAGATGAGAGCCACACCACCGCCACAGCAATTAGGCCGTGCAGTTTGGTGAAAGGTGTAACCTGGAGGTGTGGCCACAACTAGTGGGAAGGTGTCACCTGAGGTGACCCAGGTTTCGGTGAGGGCGAGGATGTCGATAATTTTCTGGACGGTGAGGTCATGAATTGTGAGGGACTTGTTGTTATTGAGCGGACGTTCTGCAGACTGATGCAGAGGGGACAGTTAGTGGTGGGAGTGCGGGGGGATGAGGGGTGGGAGGGGGTGGGCAGATGGGTTGGATGGGGATGTGAGTGAGGGAGGAAAGTTTGGCTCCCGTGAGTGAGGGCCGGTGGGCCTTACGGCGAGAGTGGGGGAAGGGGCAATCGGGATGGGTGCTGTAGGACAGCCGACGGCGTCTACCACGGTGGGCACGATGGAGAATGTGAGGCGAGGAACAGAGGGTGGCCGTGGGGGAATAAAGGAGGGATAGGAGTCGGGGCAGGCAGAGGCAGAGGAGGGTTGAGTGGGAGTAGTGGAGGGAAGGGGACGGGGTCAGGAACATCTTGGGGAAACAGCTCGGGAAGCCAATGTGTGCACGCTGAGTGGCAATGGATGGGAATAGAAGCTGATACAAGAATTGTCATATAGAGGGAACACTATCAATGAACCATATACAGGTGGGGCAGAGGACTGATTCTGTCGATCCATCCTTAATAACTTGCACAACCATCATAGTGAAGCAATTCCTTCTAAAATCTCTTTTGTATTTTGCTTACAATCCAGGAGCTAGGGCTTCTCATCACCAATTCCCCAAATAATGGAAATAAATTTTGCTAAACTGAACCATTCAGTTGTAGAAGGCCCAATTTGATCCCCAGTGTGCTGAATTAGCTAAACTCATTTCGGACAGCAATGAAGCACTACAATTGGCCACAGTTCCCCTTGGCTTTGGAGATTGAAAAAATATTGCTATGTACCCAGTGTTCGTGGAAATAAATGTTCAGTAACTCCTGCTTGAAAGCTCCAGTGTGCAGATCTCGATTAAGGATAGGATTCAGTAGTATCCCTGTAGTCAAAGAACCTGACAACATTTGCTGTCCAGATTTACACCCCTCATGTTTACCTGGTGCTCTTCAAACTGGTCTCCTCCAAATGATGATACACAAGGTTTTATCCCACCAGTACCCAGAGCGATAAGCAACAGACCAGTAGCTGACAGTGCTCTGCAGAAGAAAAACAAGGCAGAGTTCTGGAATGTTGGAGTAAACAAAATTAGCATAATAATCCTTGAATTATCAATCATTGAAACATCTCAAAGGACTTCACTTTACTATAAAGTGTAGTGAATGTATAAGCAGGCAAACACAGCAGTCAATTTGCTTACAGCAATGTTCCACAAACCACAATGAAGTGAATGACCAATTTTATTTGGAGGATTGTTGGCCAGGACACCAGGAGAAACTTCCTTCTTTTGTTGAACAGGCTATGGGATCTTTATCATTTACTTGAAAAGGTGGATGGGACCTCAGTTTAACATCCCATCCAAAGGAGTGTACTTCTGACAATGCAGTGCTCCCCAGCATTGCATTGGTGTTTCAGCCTATAGGTACAGTACGTCGAGGAGAAAAAACATTCAAAGAGGTAACAAAACAAGTGGACAAAACTATAAAAATGTGTATAAATGCTTCAGCAGAGTTATAAAACTTGGCTGAAGAGTCGATTGTACTTACACATGAAGTGTCAGAGAATCTGGTTTCCCATCAGGTATACCTTTATCTGTCAAATCTGCAATGGCACCAATTGACATCACCAATTGTCCTATGGCATACACAATGGAGAGATAGATAATGGTCCTGTTAAGATAGAAAATATAGATTAGGTGAGAATAGCGTAAAAGATCTATCTCATTTTAGTGCAATAGAAAAAAATGCCAGCTATCAATAAAACAGTGGGGTGAGGCTGAACGTTATCTATCTGCAATTGTATAGTTTGCCAATGTGAGCGCTCTCTGACAAGTTTCCCGCTGCTTAGGACCACTTTATTCATTAGGGCTTTGACTTGCAGGATTAACAGGTCAGGTAGGAAGAATCTCTGCAAGAATTAGTCTGTCCCTCCAAGTGCTGCTAACAAGCCAGACTGACTAAGGCATTGCTGATGACAGGTTAGAATACTGTGGATACTCAGGAACTGAACTACCAGGACCCACACAGAGGGGAAGCCTCAATTCTGACGTTCCATTGCCAAGCTCCAAGGAGACTCCATTTAATGCCCCAAAAGGAGAATTTTTGGGGGTCATACGGGTGTCTGGCACATGCAGAAAAACATCACAATTTAAGTGGAGCTAAACCAGAGTTCCGTGCATCCCACTTTTAGATAGAAATGATTGGAATGGAAAGACACATCCTAGAAGCCCCCTTTCTCCCCTCTTTCAAGTCCCTCCTGAAAACTTTCCTGTTCGACCGTGCTTATGGCCACCTCCCCTCTCCCCCTGGATCGAAGTCAGGCTCCGTCACTGCAAAGCACTCTGAGACGCTACCCTGCATGGAGGGCGCTATATAAGTGCAAGTTGTTGTTACCTAATTCCGGAAAGTATTAGTCCCAGTTGGCAAAAGCTAAGGCTTGTGGAACTCCAGAGTGTGCGTTGGGGCACTGCTGGAGTCTAACCAATTAAAATTGCATAGTTTCCATTGATATCGCTGTCTGGCAAGTTTTCCCGCTCCTTTCCCAGCTAAGACCTTTAGGGCTTTGACTTGCAGGGTTAACAGGAGCTGAGTGGGAGGATTCCCTGCCCCAGTGATTCGTCTGCCCTTCCAAGTCCTGCCAATGAACCTGTGCTGTCATCAGCAGTGCCCTGTACTACTGTGGACCCACCTAGTTCAGGAACTGGATCACTGAGACCGCCACATAGGGCTGACTCAATTCTGATATTCCGTTACCAAACATGTCACCTTACTTCCCCAGAATTTCAGATCCATAAAGGAGAACTGCTTGCACACAGGTTTTATATGCCACAAACGTGACCTGTATTGGGGCCTTCCTGTCCTTGAAGAGAACTGACCTTAACCAGAATGTCCTTCACCCCTTGGCTGCATAGTCCTTCTGGACAGTGTCCAAGCAAAAGTTGGTGTCAACTACAACCCTAAGATATCGATAAGAATCAACAATTGGACTGATGACTGATGCCCCTTGTATCTTTCAGTCAATACCTTTGATGTCTTCTCTTGAGCCATGCAGAACCACAATTCTGCACTTGGGGGCACTGACCATTATGTCCCACTAGGTGGCACAGTGTCCAAGAAGGTGAGAGCAGTGCAAATGGTCCCCAGGTGTGTCTGCCAGCAGCACAATTGTGTCCGCAAACATAAGCGCCATAATCCTGTCAGAAAGGCCGTTCCCCTCAATATCATCCAACACGTCACTGATGAATACATTGATGAATCAAATGGGGTGGGTGACAAAGGCAGCCTTGCTGTATTCACTTTCAATAGGGATGGACTCAGTGATTCCACCATCAATTCTTACATGAATTTTAGAGCTGGATTACACATTCCGGATAAAATCCAAAATTTGGCCACTTATTCCCATGGTTTCCAGTTTCATCATGGGGTTTCATGAGCACTAGGTGGAAAGGCTTGCAGAAGTTGATGAATGCAACATAGGTTCCCCTAAGCCTTATAACGTTCTGCGATCTCAAACAAAGCCACAGCCTGTTCCACACATTCCTCACGATAATGGAAGCCAGCCTTTTCCTTCTTGATCAAACCATGAGCTTGCAATGCATGCGATACACGTGCAGTGACTACCCAAAGCACCATTTTAAGAGCCAAGGAGGATAGTCACTAGGTGATCATCGACATCTGTGTATTTAGAATGAGCATTTAAAACAGTTCCTCTGTGCTGTTGGGACATCCTCCCGATGTGAAAGGCACTCTATAAATGTAATTCTGTTGTTGTTGTTGATCAGGGATCAGGAGCCAAGTGTGGGGGGGCAGGGTTGGGATGAGGGAGGGCAGAGAGGGTAGGAGGGTGGCTGAAGGCAGGGTCAAAAAGGAGGGCTTTGAGTCACGCCTTGAAGGAGGCAAGAGAGGGAGCAAGGCGAAGGGGGCCACACCACCACCACAGTTGTTAGGACGTGGGGTATGGTGGGAGATATAGCCGGGTGGTGTGGCCTCAGTGAGGGGGAAGGTGTCGCCTGGGATGATCCAAGTTTTAGTGAGGGCTACGCTACCAATATTTTCATCAATGATGAGGTCATTGATGGTCAGAGCCTTGTTGCAGAGGGAGCGGACATTTTGAAGGCCGGTGCGGAGGGGACAGTTGCCAGGGAAATGTGTGAGATGGGAGGGCTTGATAGACTGATTGGCAGGGAAAATGGGAACGTGGATGAGGGAGGAGATGTTAGCTGCCGTGGTCTGGGTCCGGCAGGGCTTGCGGTGATAGTGGCGAATGGGGCAGTCAGTATGGCCCCCGCTGGACAGCCAACGCTGAGTGCCATGGTGGTCCCGGTGGAGGATTCCCAGGCTGGAGCAGAGAGAGGCTATGGGATGGTCAAGTGGGGATAGGAGGTGAGGAGGACGGGGAGAGAGGAGGACAGAGCGGGAGTGTTGCAGGAATGGGGGCTCGGGTCAGGGGCAGCAGCCAAGATGCGCATGCCGAGACTTGGGGGGCAGGTGGATAGTGTGGCATCGTCAGCCCACAGGCATGGAGACTGGGGTGGGGGCTGGAGGTGGTGCAGAGGTGGGAGAGATGGCAGGGCACTCATTGTGTTACCCACCAGGTTGCCCAACCTGGAAGATAACACCAAGCAGCCTGCAGGGAAAAGACAGAGGAGGTAAAGGAGATACAATAACACAAGCAAATTACATTTGTATAGTGTCTTTCACGTCGGGAGGATGTTCCAAATCTTTGGTCAATCTTTGACACACTTTTCATGGATAAAAGGAGAGATGGGTACCAGAAGCAAGCACACTCACACTCTAATTGGCAGCTTCAGAACATACTTGTGCCCAGATAAGTCAACTCATCTGTGCTGTTCCAAGGCTTAAGAACAATGTTGAGCCACCATATCCATCTCATCATTTCACATAGGGGTTGCACACTGAGACGACTGCTCAATAAAATTATTTTCCATTTAGCTTCCAATGAGTTGGGAGTGTCAGTACACTGCACAGCAAATTAAGGTGTAAAATTTGGTAGATATAATGATGGTTTTAACCTACTTGAATTTCCCCAACCAGGAATCAGCGATAATTGCTCCAAGAATTGGAGTGAAGTAGCAAAGGGCAACAAAGGCATGATAAATCGCTGTGGCCTGGTCCTCATCCCATCGAAGAAAGTATCGGAAGTAGAGAACAAGCACCGCTGAATGAAAAAAGATACAGAGTATGGAAACATTGATCACAACGCTCATTTATTAAATAATGCTATGTAGGGTTCCCCCAATGGCTCAGCAAGTTTGGCCAGTGAGTAGTTGAGCCTTACAGAGAAGATGCTTCAAATCCTAATCTATGCTGCTTTAGCGGATCTCACCTAGGGCGGCAGTGAAGACACTGCAATTGATCTCAACACCCCCAAGCTTTGTGAGGGAAGAGAACATCAGCTGAGGTGTGCGATCCTGATCGTTATCCAGCAGCCCCTTCTGCATGTTTCTGGACATTGGGAAAGGGTAACAAATGGGGTGACCTGCAATGTTCTGTAAAATTAAAGTAACCTGTTGACCCTCACTGTTTACACTGGACAATGTGCCTGGTGCCTGTGGAGCTACATCCTCAGTAGAAAGATAAACTTCCTTATAATAATTCTTGTATTTGACATAACACCTCATCACGCTTTACTTGACAAGATTTATTGTAAAGTGGGGTGATTGTATTTTGAGGGCAAATGCAGTCACCAACCTGTGCACATCAATGACCTACAAACAGCCATGAAGGAATTGACCAATTTTATCTGTGGGAGGGGGATTGTTTGCCAGGAAAACTGGGGAAACTCCTTTCTCTTTTCGAATAGTGTCATGGGATTTTTAGGAGGAGGTGATGGGAAAGGGTGGAAACTGTAACAGAAAATAAAAAGAATGGCTTGTTTGATATGTTTAATTAAACAGAACATTAATATGGAAGGATATTGAACTGTTGTTCCAAAATGTTCTAAAGTGAAATACAGTATCGATAAGCTTTAAAAATATATAGAAACTACACTGTAATCCATTTCACCGAGGATCTTGCGGGAAGGATGGACGGAGATACTCCCTGATCCCCAAAGGATAATCAAGCAATAACCTTCGCAATGCTTATCCAATTCCCAGATCTCCACTATTCATCCTTGTTGCTTTCCAAAGACAACAAAAGACAACATTTCCCTTTCCGCAGCCCCCACAGCACAGAAATGATTGTTATCCGCGTTGAACAGGGATCATCATGTCCATTGGAATATTTGCTCAATTCCAGAGTTCAGAAATGTGGCACAAAAAGTGCAGTCTATGATTTTACATATTTCTGGATTGCTGTAGACAGTCCATGACAAATGACATTCTGTGTATGCACAGACATCTTGCCATCAACAGTATTCTGATAATATAAGATCCTTGCCCAATGCAAACTCCCATTAGAATTTTTTTGGGGTTGTGGGAATCTCCTCTACTCAAATAATGGTTGTAGAGACTGTGGGGGATGTGGCTTTGCGCCAGGCTTTATTATCTATTCTGCTATCATTTTGACCAGTAGATCCCAAATAAATACTTAAGTCAATGGGTATGCACAAAAGTTTTGATAGCACTGAAAAATGATAATGTCTACACACACAGAATATATCACTGGGCCAACTCATTACAGCACTGATACTATTCATTTTATAAGTTAGAATTCCTGTACATGAAATTTAACTCAAAATCAGTTCTTAGTAGGCACAGGTAGGAAAAACTTGCAATTTTACAATAATGTACAATGTGGGTTGTCTTTGAAGATAAACTAGTAGTGTAAAAGTGATATCAGTACATGCCTAGAGCCTCCAGTCCTGTTTTAAACCAGATATTTATTCAGTATTTGTAGTAACTGGAATCTCACAATATTCCAGTGATTTTGAGCTCCTCATAATTTTGAGTCCCTTCTATTGTCATAATGAATGGGGAGTAAATGCAATGCAAGCAAGACTTCATTATGTCACTGGAGATGAGCTTCATGCAAAACAACATTTGTCATCAAATCAGTAAGGCTGCCTTTATAATATTTTACATTATGTGGCAACTCAATGTAAGACGCTTCCTTTATCAAAACTGGATGTACCTCGCATTCCATAATAAGAAAATCTTTCACAGAATTCATTGATCACAATGAAGCCGATGCTGATTGGAAAGCCAAAACAACTGGGCTGTGAGGAGAAAGAAACAAAAGAGAAATTACAATTGATACTTATTCAATAAACAAGATGATTAAACGAACAAATCTATCCTGTCGCATTAAAGAACAAGTGCCCGAGACACTCAGGAACATGAGAGAAACCTCATCCTTACAGAACAACAAAGCTGGTGAGAGAACTGTTTCCATCTGTGGGCATTCGTTTTTTTAGTTGAATGAAATTATAGATAATTGAAGTTACAGTTGAATGAATGTTTAGATCAATTGGAAAAATAAGCTCTAAATTGCAGATTGGTTCAATAGCCCATAGGCTAACCATCTTGAAATATATATCGGTAATCTTAATTCTATATTTATATATATTAACTGTAATTATATTAACCACCACTAAAATCATTGCAGAATCACCTGCAATCCGTTTTACTGCTTTATTGTATGATAAAGGACACTTGTAAACATATGATCCATTGGCTAATGGCCAAGACAACCTCTTGTGTATGACTCATTACTAAGGAGATGTTGGAGCAAGGGAAGAATATGCAACATTGGCTCAATAGGTAAGGGTGCTAAATGAACAGTTTACAACTGAGCCATAGAGACTAGGAAGTTCCCAACTTCCAGCTCCAGTCCGTACTAAGTTAGATAAACTAGCTGAGTTGCAAAAGGGGTTGGTGTGAGTTCCTCGTTGCTCCTCATCTAGAGAAAAGAAGAAAATCAGCAAGGATTCCCAATTATGACCGCAGGCCTGGAAAGTGCACATGTATGGATGTTTGGTGATGATAGGATTGAGTTTAGCTGTGATGCTTCCACAATTGTATATCTGGTTAGTATTTAGGTTCACACGTGAAGAAAGAAATTCCCAAGAAAAACATCTTATTAAATCAATTTGTTTTGAACTCTGCACCACAAAATTGTTACATATTGCAGTACAAGCATTCTTTTGATTTGTGCTCAGTGTCCTATTACTGTCACATTATACTGTGGCTAACTATAATATCTTCCAAACAGTCAAACAATAAATTGATTTATCAGAATAGGTGAATTTGTGTACTTACAAATTACAGGCTTTATCCCCCACTTTCCTGACTATATCCTAATACAGAGATCTAATTTCATGAGTGTTTTGATGGATAACTAGTTCTTATATGCATTGCACAATTTAATTCTATTTTTACAAGAGTCAGCATGCAAAATCAACACCATGATTTGGACTAATTTACATCACAATGATGGATTTCACTTTGCTCTAACAGAACAGTATGGCAGTGTATTGTATTAACTGCAGAAGGGCAGGCCTTGGCTTTGTACGTTATGCTCTGATGTTGAGTTGTGACTGCTGTAACGTTCATTGCCCAACGTGTATCTCACCACAAAAGCTGGACTACGTTTCACAATCCCTATCACTTTTTGAGCTGTACATTGAAACTGTTATTTTAGCAACGTTTTATAGACAGTTCGCAAATCTCTTGCATTTTGAATTGAAACCTGGATAATCTGAATCTGTAATATTACTTTTTATATGCTTTAGTATTTTATCCATAAAAAAATCAGTTTGAAACAAACATAATAAAGATCAATAAGAAAGCATTTGGTCATTTGGTGCACAGTGCTCCCACCGATAATATCCTCCCTCCACATAATCTCTGTTCTGTGGACTCTAAACCAGTTGTTCAATCTACTGAGCAAGAAATGTTCTGCAAATACAGGACTAATCTGATCTCAAAGGTCACCAAGGAAAAAAAAATAATCCTTGCATTCGATAAAGCACCTTTTCACGTCATTGAGATGTCTCAAAGTTCACAGGATATACTGTAAAATGTATTGACTGTGTATTTTGTGAACAAACGCAGCATCCAGTTGCTCACAGCAATGTCTGACAAACAGCCATGGAGTGAGTGATCAATTTTATTTAGGGGATTTATTGGTCAGGACACTGGGAGAAACTCCCTTCCCTTTTTGAGTAGTGCTATGGGATCCTTAACATCCATCTGAACAGGCAGACAGAACCTTGGTTTCACATCTCATCCAAAGGACTTCACCTCAGACAATACACCTCCAGCACTACATTAGAGTATCATCTTAGACTATATAAATTCAAGTCCCAACATGGGATTTGAACCCACAGCTTTCTGACCTAGCGGCAAGATTGGTACCACTGATCCAAGCCGACACACTTAAAACCAGTAATACTCATCCACTTCTGAACCCTGGCTTGGTTTTCTTCATACACAACTACCCTTCCTCCAGCCCAGTGGCAAATGACCATCATAGTCTATACACAATTTGACTAGCTAATCCTATCCTTCAATCTTATTTCCAACTAAATATTTGTCCAGTTCCTTTCTGAAGCAGTTAATTTATACAGTCTCAACTGCTGATCCAACAACAGTAAGATTACATTTGTATAGCAACTTTCACGTCGGGAGGACGTCCCAAGGTGCTGGACAGTGTACAGCATTTCAGACCCAAGCTGGGGTCAGGGGGGGAGAAGGGAGGGGAGGGGAAGGGGGGTGGCCGATGACATGATCGAAGAGGAGGGTCTTGAGGTGGGACTTGAAGGAGGCTAAGGAGGGGGCGAGGCGGAGTGATTGGGGGATGGAATTCCAGTGGTTAGGGGCAGAGTGGCTGAACGCTCTCCCACCAATGGTGGGGCGGGTGGGTCGGGGGGACATGGAGCAGGCCAGAGCCGGCTGAGCGGAGGGAGCGGGTGCATTGGTTGGGGGGTAGGAGGTTGCAGAGGTAGGGTGGGGCGAGGCCATGGAGGACTTTGTAGGTGAGGACCAGGATCTTGAACTGGATCCTCTGAAGGATAGGAAGCCAATGGAATTGGGCGAGAATGAGGGAGATGGGGTCACGGAGTTTGGTACGGGAGAGGACACGGGCTGCAGTGTTCTGGATTATCTGCAGCCTGTGGAGGGAGTTGGGAATGCAAACAAGCTTTTTCATAGTCGAGCCTGGAGGTGATGAAGCATGAACAAGAGTTTCAGCGGCCTGAGAGGTGAGGTAGTGGCGGAGTCAGGCGATGTTACGGAGGTGAGGGAAGGCAGAGCGGGTCATGGCTTGGAAGAACAGTCAGCTTTTTCCCCACAGAAGCTAAATGAAGTTGGCAGTTTCTTTTTATTTCTAATATTTATTCAAGGTGTGTTCATTTCTCAACTTGTTTTCTTTTGTTCTGTGTTCACAGGTTCAATAAGTATTTTAGCAAAGTAAAGAGATATTCTAGTGAGTTGGCTAATACCTAATGTACTAACTGCAGTACATCAGGGTAGCTTTAGCTAAGAGAAGTTAGAATAAGGAACCTCAAGCTGTCTGCAGCATTTGGACATTGTAGCTTGCTTTGAGCAGAATTCTGCTCTGAGTTGAAGCATAGCCCTTGCTGTCAATTGCTCTACAGCTCAAAGCAATGTTAGAAGCTTTTGCAGGAACATCTGAGTGACATGCAAAGGGCTTCCCGAATTACCCCAGAGCAATGGAAGGATTACGTTGCCAGTACCATCAGTGTACAGTCCACACATTATGTCCACAAATCACACACATAGCATTTAAACAGTTGCTAACCCAAAACAATCCTTTTGAACATTTGCGTAACATTAAATTGTTTATTAAAGCCTTAAAAACTCACTCCAAGACAGGATTGCCATTTCGTTCTGAGCTTCTAAAATCCAATAACTAATTAGCAAAGTTAACACAACCATGTGTAGCATAAACAGAAGCAAAGCCTTTTCTATATAAAAACAACAAAGCAAACAAAAAGAAACACCTACTGTGCTCTTTGGATGTTCATCGTCCTTTTTTTTATCTGAAGTAAAGAAGAAAAGTTTGGAAAGAAAATTAGTGCTTTTCTTTGACAATTTGCATAAGATATATTTGCCCACTTAACAAATGTAACAAAGCAAGTGGATACAGAAGCTATTAGACTCTAACACCTGACAGTAACTAACTCAATGTTGAACATCTTAAATATAACCTGAAGGTGGCCGATGGTAAACTTGCAGATGTGGGGTAAACTTTAATTGACTTGATACAATTGGAAAAATAAGTCACTCACCTTTCATGTTTCCGATAGTTGAGACAGCTACTCCTCTCTGAGAACCTGGATGTGAAGAGGTTGAAAAGTAGCTTTGAAAATGAACTTTAAAAGTTTAAACCTTGGACCTGGTCCATTTCTAATCAGTCAGGTGGCTGAGGTGGTTTAACTGTCCAATTGCATGAGATCATAAACATATACCTATTTACTTGCACCAGAACAGATCAGGGACTGCGTGTTTATTAGCTGAGTAAATGTGGTAGCACCTTGAAGCAAATTAAATTCAAACAGAAGCCAAATTCATTCAGTCACTTAAATACACACTTACGACATCCCTTATCCACCCACTTACTCTTGGCTGCTGTGAGACATTGGGTTTTACACATTTTTCTTAATAGTATTACTCTTACTAAAGTACAGATGTCTTCCTTATGAGAAAAAAACAGCTTTCTTCTTTCTGGTGTAGCATTTTACACAAACATTAACCCTGTATGCATCAGTAGTTTCAACCCTCTGGTGAACATTTCCACCTGTGTCTAAAATTACTTTGTTTCCTTGATATTTCAGAGTGTGCAGAATTTGGCAAATTTGTAAATACAATTTGGAAGCCAGGTTTTTGCAGTTCTTAAAAGAATTTGCAGAAACCTGCTTCAAAAATACAGTTGTATTTAAGAATTTGTGAAATTTTGCACACTCGGTATAATGTTAAGAAAACACAGTAAATCTAGATCCAAAATACTATTTTACCCCTTCCTTTCTTAAAAAAATGGAAATACCTGATGGAAATAAATGTAGTTATAATAATAATACTTACATTTGATATAGCACCTTATCACATCATTAAGATTTCTCAAAGCGCTTCACAGAATATTAATAATAATAATAATCCTTGCATTTGATATAGCGCTTTTCACGTCGGGAGGACGTCCCAAAGCGCTTCACAGAGTACACTGTAAAGTGAATTGACTGTATTTTGTGGGTGAAACGTAGCATCCAATTGCGCACAGCAGTGTCCCACAAACAGCTATGGAGTGAGTGACTAAATCATTATTATTTATTTTGAAGGGATTATTACCCCCAGAAAAGCGATCCGCCAATCGAATAACAACTGGGTTTCTACTTACTCCTAGATAAACAGAGGGGTGGCATGGAGTAAGGAAACTTGCCTCAGATTTCACCCTTTAATACAGATTAAGTGAATCTTCAAATCTCACTTGTTTTTTGAAGGTATTCCTTTTGGCTTCTGATTCACCATTGCAAAAGTTACATTCTCTTTCGTGTTTGCTTGCAAGCAAAAAAATGAACAGTTTACTGGACTATATAAATAATAATTTTTGGTGTTACTTCTAAACATCACATCATCATTTGTAAATGTTCAAACTGGCAGCCCTGGGACTAGAGTTCCAAAATGATCAATTCTTCCCATGATTAGAGATGCCATATGCAAGTTTATATATTACTTACAATCTGATTCACTTCTAAACAACCAGTTGCCCAACAGACGTTATCTGAAGAGGAAAAGAAACAAACAACAGCTCAATTCTCCACAACGGTCTGACCTAACGTTTCCGTTGAAAATAATCTCAGCCTAGTTTACTTGGTAGCACTCTTGCCTCGAGTCAGAAGGCTGTAATTCAATGCCTAATGGCGTGCTAGGAGTGTGCTGCAGTTTGGGAGATGCCGTTCTTTCTGATGAGATGTTAAACCAAGTTTGTGTCTGGCTATCCAAGTGAATGCTAAGGATCATATGGCTCTATTCAAAAAGAGAAGGGAGTTTCTCCTGGTGCCCTGGCCAACAATGCCCCAGAAAAAATTGATCACTCACTTCATGGCTGTTTGTCAGACATTGCTGTGTGTAAATTGGCTGCTGTGTTTATTTACAAACTCGTTAATAAATCCTGTGAAACTCTGAGGTTGTTCCCGTGAAATTACCTCCTAATGTAAAAGACACTGTATCAAATGCAAGGATTATTATTATGTTACTGCTTTCAGTTTTGGGCACCGTACCTCAGAAAAGTTATATTGGCCCTGGAGATGATACAGCCCAGATTCTCCAGAATGATAATAATAATAATAATAATCCTTGCACTTGAGATAGCACTTTTCACGTCTTCTAGACATCTCAAATCGCTTCACAGAATACACTGTAAAGTAAATTGACTGTATATTTGTGGGCGAAATGCGGCAGCCAATTGTACACAGCAGTGTCCCACAAAAGTCGTGGATTGAAATGACCAATTTTTTTTTGAGGGATTATTAGCAGGTGTGTGGAGTAAGGAAACTTGCCCAAGGTTTCATCCTGCCGGGAATCAAACCCAGGTCTCTCGCTTGCAAACCGAGTGCTCTAACCACTGAGCTATATGACTCCACCAGAGCTTCAAGGGTTAAACTATGAGGACAGATTGCTTAAACTTGGGTTGTATTCCCTTGAGTTTAGAAAGTTGAGGGGTGATCTAATTGATGTTTTTAAAATAATAAAGGATTCGGTAGGGTAGATACAGAGAAACTATTTCCTCTGGGGGGGAATCTAGAACAAGGGGACATTATCTTAAAATTAGAGCTAGGCCATTTAGGAGTGAAATCAGGAAACACTTTTTCACACAAAGAAAAGTGGAAATCTGGAACTTTCTTCCTCAAAAGGCTGCAGATGCTGGATAAATTGAAATTTTCAAAACTGAGGTCGATAGATTTTTGTTAGGGAAGCGTTTCAAGGATATGGAGCAACAACAATAAAATTACATTTGTATATTGCCTTTCACATTGGGAGCAGGTCCCAAGGTGCTGGACAGTCAGTGTTTTGGACCTGAGCTGGTGGTCAGGATTGAGGAGGGTGGAGTGCAAGGGGGGAAGCAGACTGATCGAAAGCACAATCGAAAAGGAGGGTCTTGAGATGGGTCTTGAAGGAGGCAAGGGAGGGGGCAAGTTGGAGGGACTGCGGGATGGAGTTCCAGAGGGTAAGGGAAGAGTGACAGAAAGCCCGCCCGGCAATGGTGGGGCGGACGAGGCGAGGGACGTGAAGCAGGCTGGATACCACTGAGTGGAGGAAACGGGCAGGATGGTAGGGGGCTAGGAGGTTGCAGAGGTAGGGGGGAGCAAGGCCATGGAGGGCTTTGAAGGTGAGGACCAGGATCCTGAACTGCATCCTCTGAATGATGGGAACCCAGTGGAGTCGGGCAAAGAAGTGGGTGATAGGGTCATGGAGCCTGGTGCAGGAGAGGACAAGGTCTATGGATTGAGACTGTATATTTGTATTAGTGGCAAATGAACCATTATTATTGGAGACAGCTTGGGATATATTCAGATTGTGACAATATCACACATGATCAAAGGTGTGGTAATGGTCACAGATCCTTTAATGGTTAGTAGTTCTCATCCAAGAGTTTTCTGTGCAAAGAAAGTATTGGTATCTATGAGATCACAAGGATTTGAGATTTGTTAAATTTAATAATAATAATAATAATCCTTGCATTTGATATAGCCCTTTTCACGTCTTCTAGAAGTCTCAAAGCGCTTCACAGAATAGACTGTAAAGTGAATTAACTGTATATTTGTGGGCGAAATGCGGCAGCCAATTGCGCTCAGCAGCGTCCCACAACAGTTGTGGTTTGAAGTGACCAATTTCTACAGGACTCCATTTCAGGACTCCTGTAAAGTGAGGGACCAATTTTATTTGGGGGATTGTTGGCCTGGGAGAGAGAAACGCCCTTCTCTTTTCAAACAGTGAGATGGGATCTTTAACGTCCACCTGAACAGGCAGGCGGGACCTCAGTTTAACATCTCCGAAGGCTATTTTGTTTTATAGAGGTAGTATACAGCATATGTTTATATACGCAGCACAGAAAGACAGTATATAAAATGGAGAGACGGTGTACATAGAATTTTACATACATTAAATTAAATTTCCAACAATACAAGAACTTTACAGATTTTGGAAAAAAAACTGCCCAATGTTATTTCTTAATTGCTGTATATGTAGAATTTTAGGAACATTAAATAAACAACATATCAAATAACTATTTTTTAATATAACAGGAGGTAAAGCAATATGATCTTTGAACTTTCTGTGAGCAAAAGTTGTAAAATGCAACCCATGTAAGAAATTGAATTTCAGATCATTAACTTACCACATCAAAAGAGAACAAAGCGGCTCCACCTATCTTTGGTAACTGATTGCTATAACTACAGTCAAACATGTCTTCAATAAACACTCAGCGGACTGACGAAAGTGGCTTTATTATAAGGGTGACCTCTGAGTAAGGGTTCATTGGGGTGCGAACGGGGCTGAATGAACTGCTCCAGGGCAGTTGTTAACAGGGGTGGTTGCTGAATGGAGATAATTTGTGGAGTCCTGTAGCTCAGTGGTTAGAGAACTCGCTTTGCAAGTGAGAGACCTGAGTTCAATTCCAGGCAGGGGGAACCTTGGGCAAGTTTCCTTACTCCACACACCTAATAATAATCCCTCCAAAAACAATAATTAAATTGGTCATTTTCAATCTAAGACTGTTTGTGGGACATTGCTGTGCGCAATTGGCTGCCGCGTTCGCCCACAAATATACAGTCAATTCACTTTACAGTGTGTTCTGTGAAGCGCTTTGGGACGTCCTCCCGACGTGAAAAGCGCTATATCAAATGCAAGGATTATTATTATCATTATTATTACCTTCCTCCTCCCCCTGGTTTGGCCTTGGGCTCCACCATTGTTAAGCGCTCTGAGACGCTGCCCGGTATGGAGGGCACTATATAAGTGCAAGTTGTTGTTGTTGGTGGTGTTATCTGATACCATAATTCTGCCCGATTTAGCGTTGTCACCAACAGTCACCAAGCCAGTCAAGAACCCAGGCGTGTTGTTCAACCCTCAAGTGTCCTTTTTCCCCCATATCCATGCCATGACCTGCTCTGCCTTCACCCACCTCCGCAACATTGCCCGACTCCACCACTGCCTCACCCCTCAGGTTGCCCAAACCCTCAAACACTCATTCCTGACCTCAAGGCTCCCTCCTTATTGGCCTCCCCAACTCCTCCCACCACAAGCTGCAGATTATCCAGAACTCTGCAGGTCGTGTCCCCTCCCGTA